TGCCCCAAGCCCCCCCCGGGGGGTGGGGGGGGGGGGGGGGGGCCCTGGGGGGGGAGCCGCACCCGTAACACCCGTGGGGACCCAGCACCCGCCCCGGGTTATACAAGCGCTTTTTCTGCGTGAGCGACGCGATATCGCACACCTTCCCTCCCGCCGAGGCGCTGCCGGTCACGCCCCGCCGCGGTGACACCTATAGAATTCCCCATATCCAGCTCGGCCCCTATAGAATTCCCTGTCCGGGGGATGTCACCTCAGGACACGTCTCCCTCGGCCAACTCCTTCCAGCAAGACAAAGTCCGGCTCCGTACGTGCCTCGAGTTGCACGGGATTAATTATTTACAGCAATATAGAGGGGGAAGAAATATCAACACTTAACAAAATTCCTAAAAGCTGCTTAAAAACCCGCGGCGAGCACTTGGTTTTCCCTTCAACCTAGAACGGGAGGCGGATTTTTCCCGGCTTTTCCCTTTCCCCTCCATACGGAGCTACTGGGGGGCAGCAGAGAAAAAAAAGGAGGCTCCTGCGCATCCCAGGGGTACGCGATGGGGTGCAAAAAAAAGGAAAAAAACCCCCAAAATAAATGAAAAATACCTCTTGCAGGTATCCACTACGTGGGGCAGATGCAGGAGGGCTCCATCACCCGCTTCATGTTGGACCAGCTGACGGAGGGGCAGCTGGAGTGGGCTCGGCTGCCGGCCGCCTACGACACCGTGCTTTTGGGGGAGCCCGGCCGCGGCAGGACGTATCGCATCTATTCGGGGAAGAAGGAATATTTCCAAGGCTTGAAGGAGCAGTTTCCCGGGGAGGAGGCCGCTATCGATGAGTTCGAGCGGCTGGTGAAGGTAGAGGGGGCTTTGGCTTCGCCACGGGGATGTTTTTGGCTCTGGTCCTTCTCTGCAGGGTCATGCAGGGAGGGGAAACTCCCCCCCTCACCCCAAAACTCAGATATTGGGCAACTGCAGAGAATAACGGCGCTGTACAACCTGCCCGGCCCCAAAACTGTTGGGAAACGCGTCGAAATCTCCCTTTTCTGCCTCAAAAGCCGGCGCCGCACCCAGAGGTTTAACCCCGCTCCCCGCGGATGCTCGTGGCCCCACGGGATGTGCTGGGGTCCCTGCGAGCCCCGACACCTCCCAGTCCTCCCAGGCGGTGGAGTGGCTGCAATCATCAAAACGGTGCTAAATTAGCATGAATTAATTTAAGCTTTGAAACCACTGCAAAGGCTGGGAGCCCCTGCCGCAGGGGAGGTTTTTTGGGGGTGCCGGTTCTTCCCTTGCCCGCAGCTTCCCGGGATTCGGCGCTTACGAGAGGCTGTCACCTCTCTGCCAGCCAAGCAGTAAATTTAAGGGGAAAAAGATGCTTTTAAACATCTTTCGAGCCCACCCTGGGTTGTCCGCAGCCCCCGCGGAGGCGGGTGCTCAGCAACAGCCTCCCCTCCCGCAGAGCGTCGGCAGAGGGACCATGCTGATGGGCACCTTGAAAATGATCCCCCGGGTGCTGGCCAGGCTGCTGTGCCGCTCGGGGCTGCTGCCGTGGCTCAGCCCCTTCTGCCGACTGGCGTCGCGCAGCCTGAAGGAGGTGGTGGATGGTCTCACCGCCAACCCCGAGCTCAGGGCCGTCTTCAGCTACATCTTCCCCACCTACGGTAGGTAGCCAGGAGGCTCCGGGGCGTCGTGGAGGTAAAGTTAAACCCTTTAGAAACAAAAAAAACCCACGAAAACTCTTTTTCATTTGCTTTTGTAAGGGTGTTGTGGTTTGCAGGCGAGGGCTGCTGCGTGCATGGATGCTCCGCCAGCATCCTTGTCCCCAAGCCAGCAGCT